TTAAAAGGTTGACAAGGGACACAAGCGTGGCTCAGTTGATACAGAATATGTGACTCTTAATCTCAGGGTTGTGAGTTCCAGCCCCATGTTGGATATAAAGTCTATATTAAATAAATAAATAAATAAATAAAACCCACTGACAAAAACCTTTTTTAAATTAACTTTTATGACAACAAAACAAAGCAAATCTTTGTTTTTCCACTTTAGCGGACTACCTTGAGGTCAAGTCAGTAAGTTTCTATTCTTCAAATGGAATAAGAGATAGGATATATATCAACAACACTAATCTGCAATATTTTCATCAGAAGGGGTGGCTTTCAGTGTAAAAAATTATTGCCAAAAATATATAATCTGATCTAATATTTCCATTTTTGGTGGTATACAGCTACCAATAAAAACACAAAATCAAAATTTATGCTTTCCTTAAACAATACCAAAACCAAAAGACAATAGGTATTTACATGTGTACAGATATAGACAGAAAATTTATCTACCTTAAGGCAAAATTTTCACCTAATAGTGAAGCAACCTATGCAACATGCATCTGGACTGTCTTCTCTTTTATGGCATATGCGTAATGCAAACTAATTTTAACACATGTAAAATCAAAATGAGTAAGTAAACATAATGGTAAAAATGAGAGTAAATATACAGTATAATTATTTTTGCTTTTCAGTACCTATATTCATTTTATTTTGTGCCCAAACTGACTGATAAATCCATGATTAAAAATAAATCTACAAACATTTTCAGTATCTTTTTAGTACCTTTAAATTCATTTTGAGCTATAAATATGTCCTCTCTTACACATTTTGTATAGATCAATTTTTTGTGTGTGCAGTAAACCTAATTCAATGGAATTTAAATCTAATTTTGATGAGCTTTTTAATTTACCCCTTTTTAGTTCTTGCTACAGCAGACACTTAACATGAACTTTTTAACATCACATCCCCATGGAAGTGTTGTAATAAAATGGTTTGAACACCAAAACTGGAACCCCAGGTTCACCATAGAGGTAGGACCTAAGATAATTAATCTAAGGCATCTGTGTCTTTATTTGAAAAATAGGCACAATACTTATATGATGGCCTTACTATGAGGATTTAACAAAGTAACACCTGGCATGGTACACCTAGCAAAAGAAATAAGTTTAATTTCTTTCACACACTTTTATCAAAAAATAATTTTAAAAGGAGACTTTGGAGAGCAAGATAATTTTCATTCATCCCAATATGCCACGGATTTGTAAATCTACCTCCTCACATACAGTATTATCATATGTTACTGCAGAACGTTACTGATAGGAGACACCCCCCCCATTAGATTTATTGGTAGCTATTTACTGGTTTTCCAAAAGTTGGCGAACAGAGAGAGGAAACAGGCTAGGAAAGGTAAGCCACACTCACATACATTCAATACATTTTCCTGGCCCCTGGCAATTACGCTTTCCAGTGAGTATTTTGCAGATATGAAAGTAGCTATCAACTAAAAAGGCTGGGACCAAAATAATGACAAAGAATCCACTAATGACGGTAAGAATTCTTGGCTTAATATTGTAAATATCTCATAAAAATGAAAAAAAAAAAAGGTCCTCCCTCCAGTTCAAAGAAATTGCCAACACTGTAGGTTGAATGCTAGTCAACTATACCAAGTTTCCTATTTAGGCAATTTTTTAACGTCACAAGTACTATATAAAGCGTAATTTTAAATGCCATAAGCCTATTTTATCTTCGTCATTTAAAACACAAAATGCCATATCAGTTTATAAAATGCACTTTAAATAACTTTCCCATTTAAAAGTTTAAGCAAAAATTACACATTCAAAATTCAAAGAACCTAAAACTAGTCTTCCTTCACATATATAAAAGGAGGCAATTTTTAAAATAGATAAAATATCCTAATGAATATTTTTATAAGCTGAATTTAAAATATAACGTCCTTTTTCTACAAGACAGCAACACATTTGCTAAGTAATTATCCTCCGTGGAAGTATAAAAGCTATAAAAAAAAAAAATGCCATGACATGATGCTGCAATCTTTATAAAGATTAGAGAACAGTAATAAAGATTCAAAATGTAATGCCTTATAAATACTCAGCACTATTAGACAATAACAAAGAAAACAGCAGGGAAAATATTTTCTGTTCACAGATAACTTTTCCTAATATTAAAGGAAATCATCTTCACTTCTGAATATCTTCCTCAGTTGCCATTATAGTTTCTACTACTCACAACAGTTGCAGTTGTTTAGTACTATTTCACAAATAAAGAGAAAGAAGAAAAATATTGCTGAAAATAATGGGAAAAACAAAAGCCTCAACAGAGTAAATTACTTTATATAAAATAATTTGGTGGAGCTCTCGTTCCACCATAATCATAGAACTGGAGCAATATCTGAAAACTACATATATTAAAATCTGTTTAGTCAACACAACTATTCTGCACTACAGAAAATAAAATTTATTTTTTCCATTTTTTGTAAAACCAATGACTTATTAGAACAAGATTACTGATATACAAAGCTACCACCATATATTGGATAGCTACCATACACGGTATCAATTCTTCCACTTTCATCTTTCCTGACTATGTATCTTTCTCCCTTCAGGTAACCAGAGCACATCGGGCAGGCTGCACTATTTCAAATAACTAACACTGACTTTATTGGGCCTTAGTTCAAGGATGAGAATAAACTATTTTATATTAGTTTCTTCTAGTAATAGGAAAATTAGGTTATTAACAAGGCTTCATACTTCATACACTTTTTTTCTGATTGAAAATGAATGTAAAAATTTGGAAAATACAGAACTGTATTTTTATTCATCCATAAATACCACCACCCAGAAATCTTCAGTAACTTTTTAGACTTCCTTCCAAGAATTAAAATTCAATAATCTAATTAAATACCAACAAATATGTAGAAAGAAAAAAACATTGTACCTTCCTTTCGGCCTTTTGATAACTGTTACATAAAACACTGATTATTAATGATATGACCTGTTAATTTCACAAAGATATCTGAAAAGTGTTAAGTGGTGAGAGTGGGGTAGGGAGTCCCACAATTCAGATACTGGTCCCTAGACTGAAACCCCTTTTACAATTTTTATAGCGTCAACATTTTAATGGCAGCAAGATATGATTGTTGTGAGAATGATATCAATAGTAACTTCGCTATATCAAACGGGCTTTACTTTTAATTTCTTTCCATTCAAATTCAATGTCTATTTTCGCTGTAAAAAGTATTTTAAAACAGCTTAAATTCAAAGACAGCTATTTTCTTTGAAGTCCAGCATTCAAAACTGTTAGTGTTTCTGGCCTATGAGACAGTCCACCAGATAAAAGAGTAACGCTTTTATATGCCAAAATTCTCCGCAATAAAAAGACTATTCCTTAAATACAGCCACATTTTTTCTTTTGTTACAACCGCTGTTTATGGAAGTATGCAGATGTTAGAATTACAAAGACTGATATGACTTCATTAACCAAAAAACCAATGATACTACTGCTAGCGAATTTTTTTTCTTAAAATTTGATCGAACCTTATTTCTAGCTTCAACGGAGGCTTTCGTTGACTCAAGGCATCAAATATCTTAAAATCCCATTCATCTTCTTCTGCCCAATGGTTAACAAAACAAGTCTAAAATACAGTAACTCAAATTTGTTACTTGGACCTTCTTACACAAGCGCCTTTTAAAAGAAATCCCTCAACAAAGACTCAAGAATCAGCAAAGTTTGAGGAAAGAATTGTCTGTCTTTAAGTCAAGCATTTCCTGGTAAGTGACAGAAGGTCTGGCTGCCAGGAACACACTTTGCTGACCCTAGGAAGAGCCAAGACTCGAAAAACATTTGCCACTTTTGTTATCTAGAAAATTTATTTGGCTAAGAGGTGATAAAGCATAACCAACGACGTGTCTTTAGTGGACGAATCAATATAAAGGAGAAGCGCCACGGATTTCAGCTATGCTTTTGCCATTTTTGAAGAAAAGCTAATTGTTAGTGGCCATGTGACATTGTAAGATCCCAGAAAGGAAAGGGTGGGAGGAAGAGTGAGGAGTTCAAGGCAGTTCAGGGTCAGAACAAGCTCAGGCATCCTGTCATTAGCAAACGTTCCCCCAAGCTGAAGGCAAAATACTGCTTACCCGAAAAGGAGTGGGTGAAAAGTGAAAAGAATGAGGGGAAAACCACAAGAGAGTCAATGTGGCAGTGAGGGGGTGACAGGAGGCAGGGAATCCGGAGCTATCCAGCTGAGTTGGGGAGCAAAAGCATCGGGCACAAAAATGCTGAGAAAAGCAACTGCAACGGAGACGACAATACTTGGCAGCTCCCCATTCTTCCCCCCTCCCCATCGGCTCTTTGGGTTTCCCACACTCCCTCCACCTCAGCCCTTGACCAACACTCAGGGGTGTGACCCGCCAGCGGGAGGCTGCGGTGATCTTTGTCTCGGCCGCCTCCCCACGCGAGGGCTTCTCCTCCTCCTCGGCGCTCGCCACCCGCTCACACCCCCGGCGTCTCCAAGGAGCTGCAAGCGCCGCGGCCGCCACCGCCTCCTCGCCCACCTCCCCGCGGACTCGCGCCCTTCCTTCCCCTCAGCCGCCCGCGCCTGCGGCTCCACCCCCGCCGAGGGGAATCTTTGTGTCTCGGGGGACTTTCTGCCTCTTCCCTCGCGGGCCTCGCGGGGAGACCGGCCTCCCCCGGAGACCAAATGGGCAGCAAGCACCGGAGGCGGCGGCGACCGCAGGGCCTCCCGCGAAGGAGCCGGTCAGACACAGCACCCCACCCCACCCCCGGAAATGCCTCGGCGACCCAGGGCTCGCGCTGGACCAGGGGGGCGACAGGCACTCGGAGCTCCCCTGGCTGCGCCTCCCTCTCTCAACTTCCCGGCCGGGCCTGAGCCTCCTGCGCCCACAACAGCGGCCCGCCCCGACCCTCCGTCCCAAGCACCCTCCCGGGGTCCGCCGGGCAGCGGGAAGAGCCCCGCGCGGTCGCCAGCCGCCAGCTCACCAGCAAGTGCGGGGGCCGCGTCGCTAGGCGAGGCGCGGAGGGTAAGCGGCTCCGCCGACGCCCGCGGCGACCGGATGCAGGTCCGGGTCCCAGCGGCTGGCAGACCCAAGGCGCCTCCGAGGCGCAGGCCTCCGCTGCCGCCTTCCGGCTCTCGCCTAGGGTCCGGAGCCTTCGGGAGGGGCCGCGGGTTCCTCACACGTTGCCAAGCCCCCCGGACAACATGGCTCCCGGGCCGCCGAGCCGCGAGGGCAGCCCACTAATCCCCTCGGAGGAGCCCGGGCGGGAGCGAGGCTGGCAGGGAGGTGCCGACGCCCGGCTGAGGCGGCCCGCTCGGACGAGGGCTCCTTCTTCTCTGCTGCCGGACCGTGAGGAGCTCAGGAGACCGCGGGCGGCCGCTTTCGTTCGCTGCGTGTGCGTCGCTCTCTCACTCGGCGGCTGCGGATTGACGCCTCCGCCTGTTCCCCGGAGGAGAGCGAGCGAGCGGAGAAAAAAGACTTTTATTGAAACGATCCAACCAGCAGCAGCGGAAAAAAGCGACCAGCCGCGGAAGCTTCCCCCACCCTCGCCTGAGCAGCTCGCCGCGGGCAGCGCGACCCCTGCTGGCGGCGGCAGCGGGGCGGAGCTGGCGGTCCAGGGGCGGGGCCTAGAGGGTGGGGCGGGGTATCCCCGGGAAACCCCCCGCCCGGAGGTGGGGGCCTTGTTCTCTCTGGGGGGAGGGAGGTGAGCAGGTTGAGATGGTTTGGTAGGGCCACTCCACAGCGACTGGGAAAGAAATTATGCGGGTAATTCAGCCCCTTCATCTTTCTCCCACCCCCCAACAAAACAAAACTCTTGCTTAAATTATCCAAGTAATTATGTAATTAAGACACCAATGCCGCAGTTCTCTACTGGTTTTCTAGAGAGCTGATGTCAAAGGGCCCGCACCTGAGCATGTTGTTTGCAACTTTTCTCCTTTATTATGGGGGCGGTAGCTGTGCAGCAGTCATTCACGCACGCGGCATTTATTCATTTTATTTCTTTATATTGTGTTCTTGGCAATACACCAGGTCCTCAAGGGACTGAGAGTCTAACTAGGATGAAAGATATTCCGTAAGCAGTTATAAGAAAATTCTGAACTTTATGAGAAAGGAAATACAAGGTGCTATAGAACAGAGAGGAACTACCGTTGCCCTTGGTTAGGTTTTGTTTTCTTGGGGAGAGGGGGCGCCAAGAGGTTGGCCCAGTTTCTGTAAATATTTTTACTTTGTTCTTTCCCAGAGGCTAAAAGCTGGTTCAGGAATGAACAGCAGAGTGAAAGTGAAGACAAACTAAAGTAATACTGACCCATTTTTCCCCCCACTAATAAGGATAAAAGCAGAAAGTAAAAACAAACCCCTGAAGGGAGATAACGAGAGGATAGAAAAGACAAGAATGGGGACCGGATGTGGACAACCTAAACAAGAAAAAATTTTAAACCACATAAAAATCTAAAGTGAGATATAACTATTTTTCCATTTCAATACTCAGAAATAGACTTTGTAAGTTTTTAATGCAATTTCAAATCACATTATGTCCTAAGGACTTCTGATAATGATCTTCTTGGATTCCTGGATGAATCCTTTCCCTCTAAAAATAATGCCTCCTGACTTCTTTCTCTTATTTTGTTGGGAAAAGTTGAATGTATCTACTGTAATATCCAACAAAAATCATACATTTCAATCAGGCTTCTCCCATGTCTCTAAAATTACCAGGATCCATAAATTAGCAACATTTATGCTCTGTACATGTTTTACACTTGCTTATCATTCCTATACGAATGCAAATATAGAACACAACCTTTCCTTTAGAACAAGTGTACTTTAAAAAAAGAATACTGTTAATGGTGCTCTTTCGATTTGTCCAAATCAGAGAACTTTGTAACATACCAAAAATATAGCATCAGTGTTAGATAGCATCAGTTTTAGAGGTCTTTTAGAGGGTTAGAAAAATTGGTATTTATATAAGGCCTACTTACATGCCAAGCATTTTTCACAAACTTGTCTTATTTAAAAAAAATGTCCTTTTTTGGTCCCTTAGTAAATATTAAAAATCATAATAAAAATGAGTCTACAAAACAACATCCTGAGTTCCACATCAATAATTCCCCTTATAAATTATTAGATTGGAATTATTCCATTAGAAATCCAAAGATTGTCCTAACTGCCTCAACTAACGGTGCTAAAGAGCACCCTTTCTTCTTCCTATATCTCTTATTACCATAACAAACATTTCATAATTAAAACTGAGATAATGACTGTATTGATTTACTTATTCTTTACATCAAAAAATATTTCCTGAGTGCATATGTTGTGCCAGGCACTGTTCTAGGCACTGAAAATATAGACGTGAATAAAACAGATAAGATATTGCCCTCATGGAACTGTTTTCTAGTGGTAGAAACAAGCAATAAACATGTAACTCATTTAAGGAATTCCTAAGAACTTATAATCATGAGAAATATACAGAAGAAAATGAAAAACTAATGGAAAAGAAATTGGGCAAGAGGAACAGGACTTAGGGGGTGAGGTCCAGAAAAACCTGATGAGCAGCAGAGGCTAAAAGCCTTGGGTTCTTTCTTTATATCCCTCAGTAGGTTATTTGATCACAAAAATGTCACATGAGAAAAGAAAATGTGGCATATACACACAATGGAATATTATTCAGTTGTAAAAAAGAAGGAAGTGGCACAAAAACATGGATGAACCTTGAGAATTATGCTAAGTGAAATAAGCCAATCACAGAAGACAAATACAGCATGATTCCATTTATATGAAGTATCCCAAACAATCAAACTCAGAAGCAGAAAGTAGAAGGGCGAGTGCTAGGGGCTGAGGAGTGAGAGAAATGGGGAGTTGATGTTCAACAGGTATAAGGTTTCAGTTGTGCAAGATGTATAAATTCTAGAGATCTGCTGTACAACACTGTGCCTATAGTTAACAATATTGAAACGTACACTTAAATGTTATCTGATCTTATCACAATTTTAAAAAAAGAAAAAGTCACGCACAATCAAAATAATGAGTACATTTATTTAGTTACTCTTCTAAACTGATTTAAAATTTGCCCATATTGTTTTTGGCATGCTAAGTTGGCTTTTCTCCTGAGTTGTAATATAGACTTTTTTAACCTTGTAAAATAAATTATAAAATTACTTAAGAATTTCCCGAACTATGGTTAATAAATATTCCCTAGCACATGATGAGAGAGAGGGTTGAAGAAGAATTCCAAGATCAAATCCACTTGGGAAATGCCACATACTTCATCTCCCTTTGGGAAATTCACCACATACATTTGCATATTAAAAACTCTGAGAAGTTCTGAGCTGGAAAGTAATTTTCTTTCCAGTTAAACCAGTGTATCCCAAAATATTTTGACCATAGAATGGCTTCATCACAGGATGTATATGAACATATTGAGGGACACATGTGCTGATGAGCACTATTTGAGAAACCGCTCTCTTGGAGCATTAGGCATTTACTCTCCAGCCTTGGGAAAGGGGATCTTTGAAGGGGGAGAATGTGAAGGTCATTGAACTCTGGACAGAGAGAGTAGAAGGGGATGTAGTCAGAAAATCTTTGTTGTGCTTCACACTTTGGGAATGACATAAGCCTGGGAAACAAATGTGAAACATACCCAGTTAAGATATGGAAAAGAGACACTGAAGCTTGTTTTCAGTTGCTCTACATTAGTGGTTCTCAAACAATGATCCCTGAATCAGTGGCCCAGCAATATCACCTGGGAATGTCTTAGAAATTAAAATTCTCAGGTTCTACTGTAGACCAGTTGAATCAGAAACTCTGGGATCGAGCCCAGCAAAGTATTTTAACAAGTCCTCTAGAAATCTGCTACACAGTACAGTTTGATTGAGAACCACTGCTCTGTACAGCACCAATACACAGCTTCATCTATTTACAAAAACAATTTCCCACATGTCTGAATTTCTGGACCATTTCCAATTATTATTAGCTGTAAAAAATTCTCAAAGAAATGAGTTAAGTTACCAAATTGGGAAAAAGCTTTTTGTCTGGTTTTATTTGCTATTTTGTTAGGCTGAACCATATAATAAATCTATTTGTTTGCAATAAGAGTGAAGCAAATCAAACTAAGGGCAGCAATGAACTATCTTCCCTGTAATATCACTTGAGCAAAATAATTTTACTTTTAGTAAAAATGAAACTGTAGATGAGAAAATAGTATCAAAGGATTTTTTTTAACCTGCTTTGAAAACAAAACAGGTCGCCTTACCTTAACATTTATTTTTTTATAAATATTTGTACCATCCCAACTTTTGAAAAATAACTTTATACCATTGCATAATGATACAGCTGTAACCCATCACTTTCAAGGTTAACTATAGAGATTTTACAGACCCAGCTCTATTTAAAAATCATTATCAAAGTATCTCCATAGATACACAAGTTTCAAATTTGGGGAGAGAGATTTCTTTACTGTCTACATCTAAAATTTCTAATTTGCTGTACTAGATTTATCTGTAAAGGCTTGGTAACATCCGAGAAATTTGGTGCAGTCCAGGGAGCATTATAAAAAGCTTTCAGGAAAGTGATGTCATGTGTCCTCACAAAGGAAATGAATCCAGGAACCAAACTCAGTCTTGGCAGTTAAGGAAGACATAATTTTCAAACATTATATTTCAAAATGAAGTTGTTCTCTAGTTGTTGACAAAATGCTCAGGGAGTGTTTGTCTCCAGGTTTCCAGTAAGTCTCCCCATGAGTCTCTTTTAAAAGACTAAGGAGGGATTAAATTCTTTTTCTTTCTTTCCTTTTTAAACCTTGTGATATTAACTGCTCTTAACTAGATTGATGTTCTGCCTCCTGAAAGAAATCAGAGGTGGGCTCTTCATCAAATAAAATATATTTAAAGCTGATTTGAGCATCCTGAAAAATGAAGCACAACATGCAGCCATCTTCAAACTTAACAAATTTCTCTCTTTAAAAAAAAATATTGTTGAAAAGAGGGAGCTAGGGCAGTAAAGGTTTTTTCCCTCTTAAGCGTGTTAAAAAGGAGGATGTGGCAATTAACCATTTTCCCAGGGGCTTGTCAGAATGATCACTGGCCTTTCATCCTTTTAAAGAATCCTTTAAAGAATCCTTTAAAAGAATGAGAGAAGGGAGGGATGAGCAGAGGCCTTATGATTTTGTCATCTTCAAAATTTGCCCCAGCGATTTGCTCCTAAGAATGTTCATCAGACTGATGTGTAGACGTCATCCTAATCTTTAGCTATTAGTTCAGAAGGGCAAGTTTGTTAGTAAACTAACTTTGCCTTGCCCAAGTCAACATGACCCTGGGATCACCCATGAAGAGGAGAGTGGAGCAAATAGTTGGTATTTAACATTGAAAAAAAGGAGAAATTAAAAATGAAAAAGTCAATAAGAAAGGTAAAAAGCAGGGGCAGAGAAGGATTAAGTCTTAGAAATATACTTTTATTTCAGCAATATGGAAGCCACAGATGTTCACAGTGTTAAACTTCATGTGCTAGAAGAGAAAAACACAAAGCTAAGCAGG